TGCAACAGAAATGATTCAACACCTGTCCCAGACTTCTATACAGTTCTACTGCCCTCACGACGAATAGGAAGAAATAAGGCAAACTATAAAAACGAAAGTTTCCGAATTTTGTAGCTACTGTTGATATGATTATGAACAGCAATAAATTGTTTTAGAAACCTTGTCATCTTGTAAATAATACTGTTTCACTTTGTGATATATGTAATTAACAAATTAACACGGAATTACATACTACCACAGTGCATTATTTCTACATATATATATATATATATATATATATATATATATATATATGAAAAATAGCTCTTTTGAAAAACACGTAGTATAATGAAAAATACGCCTGGCGTTCCGCCTGTTAATTGGGGTTCAAGCTCTGAACTTTAAATATCGATGTTCTTTTTACTAGGTTGGGTTGTCATTCTAGTGCCTAACCTTACTCATTTTCCAGGCTTACTGCTGGTGCGGGTTCAAAGTGCGTCAGTCTCTTCATTCCCATTAGTATCATTGCATTCCACATGTCTTTGCTTTCAGTGTACATGTTCCTTGGAATAAGAAATTTGCTTCCAATTTTTGGAAAGTTTATGAGGAAGGTATTATTATTATTGTTCCCTTAGGTTCCTAGTGGAACATAGAGATTCAACTGCACGTCTCCACTTGCTTCTGTCTTCTCCTGTGCTTTTCACCTGCATCCATGTCAGTCCATACTCGTTCAACTCCTCTTCACACGATCTCCTCCATGTCACCCTTGCACTGACGTCCCACTCGCCGCTTCTCTTTCGGGTTCCACTCGAGCGATGGCCTGATGCGCGCGCGATGTCACCCAGAGGCCTCCTCCTCAACGAGTGTCCAATCCATCTACATCTACTTTCTCCTGCATATTTGTTAGGCGATTGCTTCTTGTTTTGTTTGTTAGTGCCCACAGTTTCTTGTAGTGATTCTTACCGGCCCAGCCATTTGATCTTCAGTATAGATCCAGTGAAGACAGTTGTTGGTTGATAAAGGTCTGGTCTGCAACAGGCTGTTAGAAATATTCTTTGTGACCCGCCCGCCAACTTTCTGATCCGTATAGAAGAGCTGACTGACTTGACGTTTGTATTGAAAATCCGACTGGATTTTGTTGTTGATGGTGAGTTGAGTGACGAAGATTTCCAGATTGGTTTCAGGTTGATGAATGTGTTTCTCGCCTTCCCAATTCTCGCTCGATTTGACATCCTCGTCCGTTCCTCTGGTGTGTAGTTGAGACAATGCTCCCTAGATAAGTGAATGAATGAAATAGCCTCTTTGAAATCCCTCGCACTGAAGGTGATTGGCGCTGGATGTTGCTGTCATGGTTGTTTTTGTTGGTTGGTTATTTTCATAACCTCCCTCTTGTTCACCTATGTTCACCTGGAGTCCTGTCTTCACCAGCTGCTTCTTCGACCAGTTTTCGGTTTTCGCTTGTAAGTCTTCGATTTCGTGTGACATCAAACATAAATCATCCACGCGCGAAATCCATGTCTTCTAGGTTGCTCCCGTCGGTCCAGGATATCTCCGTTTTCTCGTTTCCCACTCACTGTCTGACGCATAATCCAGTCCACCACAATTAGGAATATCATTGGTGGTAATACGCACCATAGCTACATTAAATCATATTCATCATTTGAAAACGACACAGTTCATGGAGAGGATTCACCAAGGTTTCTTTTAGAAAAAGTGATTAGATCACAATATGCTATTTACCATGCGTATATTCGAAGGCAACCTGAATGGGAAACGACGAGTTAGGCGTCTGATAGCCTAGGACAATCGTGCGGCCAGTTAAAGACGACTATGAGGAACAAGAAAATGTGTAGACGCGCTGTCGAAGTTCTATGTTCCACTTGTAATTCAAGGGAATATATATAAATCTAAGTGTATCAGAGTAAAGCGTTCACTAGACATAGTTGAAAATAATATTGTTCACACATAAGCCATGTCTTAAATTTAGATTGACTACAAAATAGTTATCTCTTTAATTTACTTATTTTCCGTGAACAAAATCTCTTTGCAGAACTTGTAATTAGATTACGGATATCTTTTAGTGTGATTACACAAGCACTTTTAGATTTGATAAACAAGCTACAAGACAGTGTGTCTATTTACCCATCTATCTAGTTCTCATAGACACTTAATCAATAATTCACATCAGATAGAAAATTTAGACAGTTTGATGGAAAAAGGAAGCATATGAAATAACTTCGAGTATATTCGAAGGTCCAGCTTCGACTCTGGGCTAACGCGCCTATGCGGTGGTAAGACAGATTACAAAAAAAGAAGGAAGCTGAAAAGTAAATTCTACCTAATAATTTTTTTTGTCTCTTCATTGGTATTATTCTGTCTTCTTAATTGTGATATTTTGCATTTTCAACTTTCTTGTTCTCTACCCCCACCCGATTTAATTTCTACACCTCACTACCACTTTAACTGACCTGACCAACGCTCAATTTCTAGTCATTTATGTTACGTCATCCCACTTAATTGCTCAATTTCAGTTCTAATTTAAATGGCATTATTATCTACCCCACTTCTACTTAGTCTCTACCTGTAATTACCTCTGTTGCTACCCTGACCTAAGTTAAAACATTTTAGTCAATTATATTACGTCATCTAACTTACTAACTCAATCTTACTTTAGTTGCTGTCCAATTAACCTTGTTTCTATACTATATTTGTTTGTATTCATAAACGGACAAAGTTTAGGTCATTGCTCAGGTAATCCGTACTACAAATTTGTTTATTAACAGCAATTTCAGACAACTTAATGTAAGTAAAAATGAATTTTATGAACCTTAAAGAATTACTTATACATATTAAAGCAGACTGATTTTCAAAGTCTAAATTACACACGCGGAAGGGAATAATGCGAACAAAGAGGAGGAAAGAAATCAACTCAGAAACAAAATCCCGGTCCTCAACACCAATATAAAATCATCTATTATACGCAGTGAGTGCGTGCCACCAAAACCTACCTCAGACTTTCGTCAAGAGATGCCTTTGCTCCATACTGAAGATCAGATGGTCGATATGAAAGCATAAACAACAGGAAATTCTGACCGACAAAGAACCACCATATATGCTGAAGGAAATAGAGACAGATTGGACATACACTGAGGAGACTGTCGAGCGTCATCTTTCACCAGGTCCACAAATGAAACCCAAATGGAAAGTGATAAGGTGGTTGTGTATCCGAGGGATACATGGAGGGGATTGTGTGAACAAGAAATGAAAGCTTATAGTTAGTCATGGAGCTAGTTTTAAAAAAAGACTGCGGAGAAAAAAGTGAAGTACAGATGTGCTTCTGAAGTCCAACTTGTTACCCAAGAGGATAATAATAATACAGTGGCTATACGCAGTTTGTGTTCCGTTGAAAAAAAAACTGCTCATAACACAGAAGTTGACATAACATAGTGGCAACAGACACCGAATCCAAAATTTTAGATGAGATAGTTCTCACTGAATAACATTTGGACTAACAGAATCTCATTGTTAGTGGATAAAACTCATATAGAGGGGGGAAGCACCTTTTGAAACTATTACTAAACCGAGTGGAATCCTGACGGCCTAACGGAAACACCTCAATATTACTAAGGATAGAAACTGCTCGGTTACATTTGAAACCAGCTGTACAATCTGATAGCAAACCTTCCAAGGAAAATTACAGGAAGCCTTTTAATGTATTCAAGAATACATAGAGCACGAAATTTCTAGTGCTAACAATGATATCACATAACTAAGAATGTGTTATGCCTTTCCCTAAACTTAAAGTTCACCACATGTGTAGAAAATTTTACTTTATGACTACCAAACTACTTTAAGTAGTATGACGAATTAACTGTAAATCTTCATAGCCGCGTCAACTTCTTATTAAAAGAATTATGCGGCAGCCTATGAATTAAGGCGTACAAATCTAAAAAACAGGTAGATGATTGCCAAAAGATGCTACTTGAATAAATGAAATGATTCGTCTTACTTTAATCTCAACTGAAGTTATTTAAAACATTCGAATATTTGTGACCAGGAAGCCTAAGGATTATAAGTTAAGTTTAAAAGGTAAGGCTTGTCGAATTATTTATGACATAACTGGTTTAACGTGGTGTGTTTACAATTGAATGACTTTAAACGCCACTCAGATGTTCGATTAAGTGGTCATCTATAAGTATTTTATTCCTGTCGGGTATACAACGTGTGCTATCCAAGCGCTCAATATGGAAAACATTCCTTTTGAAGAATACCATAATCTTCCCTAACTGACGTGACTAGACGCATTCAACCATTTAAACCTTAAGCGACTACCAGTCACCCAGTATCAACAAATACAGTCATATTATCGATACAAATAATGCGTTATTTCATAGATTTTCTAAACAATAGTCTTATTATGCACAATAAGTTTACACACTATGCACAATTAGCAGTGTATTTTACTGCATAATATTTACTCTTCAGCATCGGTGGAACAGCAGTAGAATGTTCGTCGACCACGCATGTGGTTCTGGGTTCGACCCCAGGCTAAAGCACTCATTTATCTCAATAAGCCAGTAATAAGACTGATAAAGAAGGAAGGTTGGGCATGCCACTAAGCAACCCCTTCCCGTAAAAATAAACACCACTCCTACCGAAACTTCAAGCCTTTAGCTTGAAGACCTATGTTCCACTGGGAACGTAAAGGAATAAAATAAAACCAAAACAGTGTATCTTTACACGGGTGTAATAACTGTCTATGCTGTCACTTTCTAGACCTGCCTACGATACTCCCTCCCCTATCCCAGTTTTTTTCTACATTGCGTGATAGGAGGAACAAAAATCCAATAGACATCGTTCCACTAAAGATCTCTAAAAGGTATCACATCTTTTTTTCCTTTTCTCCAATGACTTATCTCCCCCTCAAAAAAAAGTTGATTGACACCAAGCCCCTTGAAGTACTGACCAGCGTAAACAAGTTAACACCGACATTTATAAATTAATGAACAACAGAAAGCAAATAAGAAGTTAAAAATTATTTTAATTACATCTGTACACAAGGGAGAGAAGGTTAACAAATAGTGAAAGAGAAATAGGAACTCAACAGGAGAGATGCATTACGGATGAGGTTAGTATGTAGAAAATAGGTGATGACAACATAAGCAACCATTTGGTTTACTAAATATTAATATTATTATTATTTCAAATATGTAGAGAGATTCCCAGTAGACTTGGTTATTTTGCAAGCTTCTTTCTAGAAATTGAGATTGCAAAAGCAAAGAAAGTAATATTTAGAAATATGTTTAAACATCACTAAAATAATATACACAAAAGTGCCACACTACTCCATGTAGCACACATAAAGGCAGAGAGAGAAAATTCAAAGGAACTATTATGAACGGATATGGATTGAAGAGTAATGAGAGTTCATAAAGAGTGAATGCCTCTGCATCACTGAGAATGATTTTGAACCATGACGCCAACAGCGATCAGATAAAAACACGACAATAAACTGCTGGTCTGAATCACGTAAGGTGTAGACTGAATGAATGAATGAGTTCTCCAGTATGTTAAGAATTAATGGGTAGAAACTGTTGGGGAACATGCCACAAAAACATAGCGAATATGCATTGACTCTATTTTGATTTATCTAGACACGGTAAATTCCCTCTACTTTTCATCTAATTGCCTTTTCTTCTATGTTTTGGCCATTAAAGTTTAATTGTGTTTTTCCCCTTACTTTTATGTCTTATACTGAGGTGTACCAATATGAACTGACTCCACGCTGACTGATTAAGGCACTTTTCTCGAACTCATACAGCCGTGTAACAGCTTGCGGAGAGTTGTGCTGGTGAAAACTAGTGGTGTCCGACAGGGATGCCCACTGTCCCCATTTTTATTTTATTTCATCATAGATGTACTAATGGATTCAACCCTAACTCAATTCAGAGACTCAGGGATTGATTTGTTACCACCAGGGAATAATCTCGTTGACTTTGCATATATACATGATATAGTCATCCCTCATAGGTGAAGACGCTGACAAAACAGAGGAGAGTTTTCTGAACACCTTGAACTGCGATCTACGAATGTTTGGCATGTGATTCGCTCCCGCCAAATGTAAGATGATACGGGGGTGGACTACATCGACTACTCCTAGCTTAAAGATACAGAGTGAAGTGATAGAGCGTGTTGACCACTTCACTCATGTAGAAAGTCAACTCAACTCAAGTCAGTCAACTCCAGTAGGTTGATCGCTGACGAAATCTCTGCACAGATACAGAAGGCTCGTTTCGCATATGCCAGTTTACGCCGTCGCTGGCGTAGACGTGATATCCGGCCGGTTGTCGAGCAAAGGGCGTGTGTACTGCTCAACAGTCCGCCCTGTCCTCCTTTATGGATGACTGTGAGATTTGCCCACTGAAAGTGGAAGACATGAAAAGGCCGGCTAGCTGTCTTTGATCATAGGTGTCCCGTGTGAAGTGGTATGGGGTGAGCAATATTGAGGTTAGGCGTCGAGTTCTAGGTAAGGAGAGGAAATCAACAGATGAGGCTGTGAAGATACATCGAATGAAATGGTAAGAACACGTGTTACGTATGCCTAGCCATCGCCTTGCTCGACAAGCAATGTTAGATGACGTAGGGTAAGGCTAGAAAAGAGCTAGTGATGGTCAAAACAAAACATCGCTTCACCAGTCAATGAAATTCACCATAGTTAGTTTAAGCCATGTAGGAAGGTGTAGACTTCTTGACTGGTTGGGGTCCTCGAGATGGTAAAAACCAGCGGCTGGAGACAATTGACTAAATGGCTCAAAATCGTTCGCAATGGCGCAGTTGCATTCACTCCTTGCGACTTATAATATATAATAAAACTCTACTGTTCTTCCATATTATTATTATTTTTGCTTAATATTTCTGTTTATTCTGTCTGTTTTGAATCTCTTTTTACTCTCTTCTCTTGCTTTGTGTGATACATGGAGTGTAGCCGCTCGAACTATTGCACATCGGTGCAAAGTTTTATGTTGAGAAACAGTCAGTCAAACTCCAGGTTGATAGTTTATTTCAATTCAGATCTATAGTTCAGTGGGAAATTTGTAACATGTGTGACCGGAATTCGCGCACCCTTTGTAATTTATAAAATTCCTTTTATAACGCAATCTGGTAAGACTCTGATAAAAAGACGTTACGCATATTGAAATGAAATGATAAATATTTAAGTATTGTAAACTTACACAGCTGCATTTTTCCCACTTAAAATCACATAAGGCATTGATATAGCTTCAAGTTTCTTATTCAATTTATTCACTGTTCCAAGTGGAGTATCTGAACTAGTACTGGCCTTAAGAAGCTGTAAGATGAATGTGCAAAAATAAAACACAATAAGAAATTTGATGTGTTATGTGAAGCGAGTTGATTATGTTGAGAAAAGACTATACCGAAAATTTAAACGATCATTAAACAGTTTAAAGTTATGCGCACAAAGTCATATAGTGGTACCACATCACTATAATAAAACAAAGTGAAAAACTATCAAACAATGGTCCTGATTCTGTCAGAAAAAATGAAACGTTTAAATTAGTTCTACCAATTCAAAATCTTTACGTGAAATTTCAAAGTGGGTATACATAACATAACATAAGATAAGCTTTATTCCAAATCAGTACTTGTGATACAGAATGGAATTCTCAGCATTTTACTACAATATTGCATCCAGTTTTTTACATTAACAATAAATACACACCTACGAAAGCTTTTATATTTTCAACAGTTGGTTTATAAGGATTAGATTTGTTTTTACAAGTTTGACCACGGATTGATATCAGTTAGAGAACCATTGAAAACCAACAGGGAGTACTGGACAGCCAGCTGTTTCATCCTAGTTTGGGACATACCGGCAGTAAGCATTCACTGGGGTTCGAACCCAGAATGCAGTTTCCTGGAGTTCTAGTGAGAAGTCATGACCAGTGAGGTTCAACCAGTCAAGTGTGAGGATGCAGTTCCCGCTGACGATATTGGTGGGTGACCGCGCTAAATGCATCACGAATTAGTAGAAGTTAGGATTTGTGGGCCATTGGATGGTATACGGGCCAGCTTACCTTGTAACCGTAAGGTCCTGGGTTCGAAACCCAGTGGGTGCGTACTGGCGATAATTCCCAAACTAGGATGAAACAACTGTCCAGTACTCGCTGGTCTTTAATGGTTCTTTAAACGATATCAATCCATGGACAAACTCGAAAAACCTTTCATAAACAAAAAGTTAGGCGGATTATAATCGGCAAAGCAGTCTACTTTCAAGTGTAAGCTTACAATGTGAACCGAAAGTTGAATGTGATAAGACATCTTTGCTAAATGCCTTCTTTTAAATACACATTTCTGTCAACGGAAGAATGTGGTTAGGATAATAAAATAGTTATTATTCTTACTAAACTTAGAAAGAGGTGTCATCAATTGTTATTATTATTATTATTCGTTTCTTGGGTTTCGGATGGAACATACGGCTTCAGCAGAAAATCGCCAGTCCACTCTGTTCACTAACATCTTGATTAGCAGGCTTCACCGGTTGCCGATAAGTTTTACTTGCTTCTCATAAGATCTCTTTCGTTATCCTTGGACGCCTAACTTACCGCATCCCATTCATCTTCCCACTCAACAGCCTGTCAGATGATGTCACTCAACGTATGTCCACCAACCCCCCTCCATTTCCTTCTGCAATTTCTCATTTTTTTAAAAACATCAGTAAGTGTCTCATGCCAACTATGTTAATTCTTCATAGTGATTGTTCATGATTAATACTAGAGGTTATTATTATTATTATAATTCCCTTGGGTTCCGAGTGGTACATAGAGCTAAAACAACACATCTTCACTTTCTTCTATTTTCTCCACTCCTCTTCAGCTGGGTTCACGACTGCCCATAATCTCTCATCTCCTCCAACTCGTCACACGATCTCCTCCGTGTCACTCTCGCACCGACGACTCACCCGTCGCTTTCCATTAGGATTCCACTTGAACGATGGTCCGCATTGCGCGTGACATCATTCGACGGCCTCCTCAAAGTGTGCCCCAACGATCCATCTCAATTTTCTCCTACACACTTTTTGATCAATTGGTTTTATTGCTTTTTGGTTTGTTGCTAGCCAGAGTTTCTTGTTGCTAATTCTTTCTAACCGGCCGGCTGGCAATTTGATCATCAGTATGGAGCCAGTGAAGTGACCAGCTGTTGATAAATGTCTGTAACTTTTTGGAAATCTTTTTCTTAAAGCACAGTGCCAGTTCCTGATTGGTATAGAAGAAGTGACTGACTTCCCATTTGTGTTGAACAGAATCCGAATCATGTTCTTACTGCTGCTGGGGTTAGTGCAAAAGATTTCTATACTGGTTTCAGATTGGATGAAGGCATATCCTGCCTTTCCGATTCCGGCTGGCTGGTTTTGACATCTTCATTCGTGCTGTTTGTAGTTGAAACGATGCTTCCTAACCGGATAAGTGAAGGAGGTAACCTCTGTTAAATCTCTCCTATTGATAGTGGTTGTTTTTGTTGTTGTTGCTGTTGGTTGGCTATCGTCATCACCTCCGTCTTCTCTATGTTCACTTGGAGTCCTGTCTTCACTGCCTGACAGCCTCTCCTGTCAGTTTTTTGGTCTTCGCTTGCAAGTCTTTGAGTTTGTGTGACATTAGACATATATCATCTGCGAAATCCAAATCATCTAGAGTCTTCTTACCGGTAGTCCAACGTATTCCTGTCTCCTAACTCCCTGTACATAGTCTGACGCATAGTCCAGTACACAACAATGAGGCGTATCATCGGTATTAATAGGTAGCCAGCCCTGTCTTAACTCCTGTATGAACTTCGAACGCCTCAGAGTTCATCATACAGCTGTTGAATGAGGTTGATAAAGACTTGAGGTACGCCATGGTGTTGGAGTAGTTTCCAAATTACTTCTCGGTCAACGCAGTCTGTCGAAGTCCTTTTCGAAATCGATGAAGTTGAGATAGAGGTTTGACTGCTATTCCATGCTTTCTTCCGCGATGACAATGCGTAGAGTCGCTATTCGATCAACACATAATTCGCTTCTAATGAATCCAGCCTGTTCCGGGTTGGTGGAGTTCTGTATCCAGTGCATTCTTCAGTCTCTCCAGGATGATGCGATTTAGTATCTTACTTGGCATGGACAAGAGCATTATTCCACGCCGGTTCTTGCACAGGCCTAAGTAACCCTTCTTTTGCAGATTGAGGTAAAATTATTTAATTGACAACTTAAAGCAAACAGCGAAATAGCTTTTTTGATATCATTTTTAAATCAACATTGTCAGATTTAAGCCTATATGAACACCAACTAAACATAGAAGGATGCAATCCCGTTTGACAACACACGTTGTTCACTTCGATCTACACAAATCCGTGACAATGATGAAACCATGTACAAAGTATAGCACAGCATAATACACGATAAATGCCTATACCATGTAAGTGAGTTGCATTATGAACCTCAACCATTACTGTTATTCAGAAGGTCAATAAAATATACAGTCGTCTTTTAGATTATCAAGGCGTAATTGTGGATTGGAATACCAAAAGTATAATATTAGGAACAAACAATAAGCACGTTAACATTTATTTGCATAGAACTTACAAATTCCTCTTTAATCTTTTTCATACGTTTCTGTGTTTTATTTTTACCAGAACCTTTTCCATGAAATTTATGACTTAATTGACGAAAAGCTTCTTTAGCGCTTAAATCTCTTCCCAACTCATCAACATACTCCAATTTAATATCAGGCTTATATTGTGTTAACTCTTTGAAATCTGATAATGGTCCAGAGTAACGATCACGTTTATAAAACTTGGCGTCAATATCATCATAGCGTATATCCTCTTGAACAAAATGTTTAGCCATTAGATTGACCATAGTCCCTGCACCAGTCTACAATAAAATGAAAAGAAATAATTAATAAAGGAAGTGAAACGGATAACAGACCACTCCTATTTGCATGTGAAGTACTGTACACCAGAGAACTGTATTGTGAGATTCAATGTTACTAACCGTTAAAAAAAACTACAAATCAAGTAGATAATAGACACCCCAAATGCGCTGTATCTACAGATTATTATTATTATTGAAACACAAATATCATGCATTATGAGCACTAAGGGATGCACCATACAAAATCTCATAGTTCGTGAGAGGGGCAAGTTGCTGCACGGATGCCCAGATCGAAGCAGATAGTTATCTAAAGGAGCCAAACCCCCTCAGAGCCTTTGATTTGATGTCTGATCCGCAAGGCAGTGGAGCAGCGTCAGAAGTTACCTTTCTATGGTTGCAAATGGTCAAAACAGGTTCACACACTATTCGACACTTTCGGATTCTGAAGCGCATGTACCTTATAGGTTTGGGTTTTCCAGCTCCCCTAGGTTGATCAGCATATCCACCAATCCGTTTGCAAACGCCAGAAGTTGGCATTTATCTTTTCCCTTTTATAAAGAACACCGCTGCCACCATATGAAGGCGGTGAATAGGATTTATCTGACAGAGGTAGGCTTTCGACCCTCAACCGCACGAGCATATCTCGAGAGGAAGACGGAAGTCTACACAGGTCACTTATTCTGTTGTTGCTCTCAGTGGCTGACTAACTGAACTCTAAACAAGCGTGCAGAAGCTCAGATTGCCACATCTCATTAAGTCACACACATAAAAGTAAAGAAAGAAAAATGAAGACTTAATTAGTCTGGGGATCACAAGAAAGAAACACATCTGAGTCACTGACGTCTTTGAGTCATATATATCACCATCAGCCCTCAGATAATGGCTCTTGGCGCTAGGCAGTTGACATCTCCCTGTGGTTCAAACCAACGATTTCTGACATGTTTTGGTCTGATAATCCTTAGCTCTTTTCCAGTCTAGTTCTATGTCAGCCCATATTACCTGTCAAGGATGGTGATGGTTTGAAATTCATAATACATGCCCCGTTGATTTCAGTCTACAGAACTTTATAGTTTTATCTACTGATTTCCCCTCATTGTCTTACACTCCTGCTCCCAACCTTGGTGTAACGGAGCATATTACACCATCTAACACTGGAAATAGAACTTCCAGTAGCTCAATTAAGTGTGATATTATTTCATATGCTGTACTACGATACAGTTCTACACAGAGAAGTTATACAGAAGTATCCCAAGAACATCACTCAAACACTGATTGATTGAAGTTAAACACAGAACTTTACGCAGAAGTGCAGCAGTTCAAGATGCCACACTCTATGTAGCACACAAAGGTAGAGATTCAAAAGAACTATAATAAGCAGAAATGTAGAGGAGAACGAATAGTAGCATGGAAAAGCGTGACGGTTCAATGGACATGGGAGATTATAGACAGTGAATGTATCTGCTCCATTGTGAACGATTTTGAGCCAGCAAATGGTTCTTAGCATCTCAAAGACCCCAACCAGGAAGTCCACACTTCCCTATATGGCTGGCTTAAACCAACTGTAAAAGACTTGATCGATTGGTGCCAGGTTTTCGTTTGACCACCACCACTAACTCTTTTCTAACCAAATCCCATGTCACCCAAACACAAGCACATACGAAGCGTTTGACCCCTGGATAAAACCAACTGGTACATAATCCATAAATTTGTGCCTGTGCAAGATTCAATTAAAATCACCACAACATAGACACACACAAACTTACACGTTTCTCTTTCTCCTTTTCAATATATCCTTTCTTTTCAGCTAATTTTAAAGCTGAAAATACTCCTACGTCTAAACGTGGTTCATCATCCAAAACACCTTGTATATCAGGATTTTCTGGCTTAATAATATTTACTGAACCAGGAGTTTTAACTGTTGACTTCGATTGACTTCTGGTCGAACTGTTTGGCAAATCATCACCGACAGTATGCCAACGATCTGAAAACGTAAATGTAAACACTTACAGTTAAATTCAACAATATTAAAACTTAAATTTGCTAAACAAAGAAGTGTTTAACATATATCGAATAGGAGAACTGGAATCGACATCAGATGCTCACAGACACAAATATTTACTGACTTGTAACCCCCATGTGAATTTATCGCTCTAAATAAACAAGCAAATCACAAATTAAATTATTTGAAGTCCTACAAAAACAGATAGGTCAGCAAAAAACATTTATTTCATAAATTTCCTCATCAAAGCTTTACAACTAAACTGCATTCTAAGTATCAGTTGGCGACAAAATGTTTCAGGAAGAAAAAATGAACAAATTATGAAACTTGATGAAGTTTCCTCATGTAATTGATGATTATCGCTAAACCAGTAAGCGCTTTGAAACGGGAATACTATTCATTAGAGAAAGAGATTTAAAATACATAAGAAGTACATTTTAATGTTTGTAGTTTTAAGTGAAATCCACTTGAAATTTGTAGTTACCTGCGAATAGTGTTGTTCATAGAAAACTTCAAGTCATGAGTGTATATAGGAAAATGGAATACAACTTTACCAAGATTAGCTTTCATTTTCGACTACCAAGATCGTGTGGTGACAAGATCTACACCACATAACAACTATGCATGTTGTTTGATAGCATATTTCATTGATTAACGGTACGCCCGTTTCATAAGTGCATGACTAAAACAGTACTAAGTCTCCGTGAGTGTGGATCAGATACAACCTAGTACATGAATAATGTACAAAGTGATTATTCAATGGCTAGTACTCAGATTCCCTAAAGGATTAACTAGATCCTGGGCAGTTTACTTTGACATATTCAGCAAGGAAAAGAAGTTAACGAAAACGAGAAACAATCAGGATCGATGTGAACGGATATAATGTTTAAAACTCTGAAGAACAAGGCAACGAAGTTAGGAGTGAAAAACTGTTCCTATTCCAAGGCAAAATCTGTAAATCAGAATCGTGACAGGATTCCGTTTTCGATATTTTATATGCCATTTATCGAATAGAAGAAAATATTGTCTTTAGAGAAGCACTAAACAGCTGTTTATTATAGGAAGTCGAATTAGCAATTAAGTTTCCCTATACTTCATCTAAATGCATGTGACTACATACCACTCATCCCAATCGGTCAGCAGTATGTAGCAACGTGAATTTACGTCCATTATGATCTGAATAATTTCGGTTTTCAGAGGTATCCGTGGTGGAGTTTCATTTCGAACTATGTAAACTGCAAATTATGATCTTCATTTAAAGCCAGACATAAAGGGGACCTCCGAAATACGAAAATTACAGATCGTTATACATCCGTCAACAATTATACACCTCATCCAACAGTTGTACGATAATGCTGCATGCCAAGTAATACACAACAGGAAATTCACCGAATCCTTCGAAGTGAAGATGGGAGTAAGACAAGCTGGTTACCTACTAACTTCAATGATTTTCCTGACTGCAGTAGACACAATAGTGCGATAGACAGCGGGCAACGAGGAAACAGGTATAAAATGCACCCACACAAAAAAACTTGAAAGATCTCGATTTCGTCGATGATATGTGTCTGATTTCCCACAAACTGGAAGATATGCAAGTGAAAAGCAACAAGTTGGCAGAGGAACCATCAAGTATAGGCCTACACTTCAGGTGAACATGGAGAAAACAGAGGTGGTGAAGATTCCTGGCCAACAGCAACAGCAACAACAACAGACAACAATCGGCATAAATGGGAGAAATCTGAAAGAAGCAACCTCCTTTACCTACCCACGTACCTATCTGGGAAGCATCGTTCCAACTACAGGCGGACGGAACTGATGAGAATATCAAAGCAGCGAGGATCGGGAAAGCACTGCAAGCTTTCATTACTCTTAAGTCTTTGTGGAGGTCAACAGCAATCAGCATGAAAAACAAGATGAGGATTTTCAATTCCAATGTGAAGTCACTGCTACTATAAGGATCAGAGACTTGGGACCGCCTCACGAAGAGCACTTCGAACAAACTACAGACTTTCATCAACAACTTTCTTCGCTTAATACTACTCAAAATCAGATGGCCGGCCAGAAAAGATCAGTAACAGGGATCTCTGGCAATGAGCGAACCAACCCAGCAGGAACCAGTTGTGCAACAAATCTGCAGGAAGAAATGGAAGTGGATTGGCCATACTCTGAGAAAACCATCAAGTGACATCACACAACAGGCCATCGTTCGAGTAGAACCCGAACGGGAAGTGTCGAGTTGGTCGTCAGTGGGAGGGTGACATGGAGGTGACGTGAACAGAAGATGAAAACATGTGGGCAGACGTGGGGCCAGGTGAAAACGTTGATGGAGAACCGGATGCAGTAGAGGCGTGCGGCTGAAGCCCTATATTCCTGTAGGAACTAAAGGAGATAAATATAATACATCCTGTTGGGGCACACACGAAGTAAGACAAGACGAACTTACAGTGTCCTGATTTGTGGTTTAGTAGTAACAATGACAAGAAAAATTAGACTACTTTCCAAAAATAGTCCATCTTCTAAGCCAAGAAAGAAGATCAAAATGACAAAATTATTTAGGACCCCATTACTCTTCCAGATATGATAAACTTCGTCAAGTAAAAACAGGAACATGGCTACATACTTTCACTAAATAATATGCGTTACTCGTTTGTGTTAGTTAGCCTTAAAAATAATCCTCCAAAAGACAGCTTCAATGAAATACATGAGAAGAGCTACCTTTTTATATGATGAAAAAAAATGCAAATGCATAAACATAACCCAGTTATAACTAACTTGATGACTCAGACTTTACACCTCCATACTTCAGGTCATCATCGGAATCATAATCCATTTTTTGGTATTCTTCTTCTACTTCCTCTTTATATGGCAGTCTAGTAGGCGTTGGTGTCGCATCCTCATTGTCATCATTAGCCTCACCAGTCTGTAATTTATACTGATTCAACAGAAACTGATTATACTGAGCATTTTTCTTCATAATCTCTTGGAAGCCAATACCAATTGACTTGTAGAATTCAGCAGTGGAGTCAAATACAATCGGAGTTTTCTTACTACTGCTTGCTGTAACTCCTGCAGATGGTTTTGGCAAGGGATCAGGAAGAGGAGCAGCTGTATTTTTAGCCAATAGTTGTGATGTAATCTGTTAGGTGTGTGTGTGTGTGCATATATAAAGAAGCGGAAACAACAATAAGCAATTAGATATAGCTTACAGATAAAATTGGAAAAACTGCTTCGAAAAAAGTCAACAAAAAGTACACTTGTAATGCCTTTTCACCTAAACAGAAGTATGCTTCTACAGAAGTAGAACTTGACTCTCAAACAGGTAAATAACTGATACAAAAGAAAGCTACTGGCATATAAACAAAAATCAGCAATACGCTACTGTTTATTATCAATCCTCAACTCTTTTGATTATACTAACCACTTCTCTATACACATGCTACACTCAAACTTTTTTTGAGATATTCATAATTGCTGATATTAGTTTCTTTCTAAAGAAAAAGCATTCCTATTTGCATTGTTCACTTCCAGTCTGTATGTTACAGAAAAAGGGTGGGTAAATCAAACTGATGGCCTTTTATCGATGTAAAGTTCTACACCGATTAGTCTATCGCCTCGAATTTGATCAACGAACCACTCACCGAATCTTTTGCTAAATAAACAACTGAATTTCTAGAAGCCCAAGTCATGAAACACATGTAACAAACGAAGGACTTACTAACTGACTGAGTATTCAACATAGAACTCTGCATAAAACTGCAGCAGTTCAAGCTGCCACACTTCAAATAGCAGACAAATATAGAGAGAGAAAATTTAAAAGGAACTACCATGAACGGAAATATACAGGATGTAGAATAATCACGTGGAGAAAAGTGAGTGAATACACTTAAGCCATTGAGAACGATCTTGAGCCATATCATCGACAGTCTCAAACCATTGCTTCTTAGGGTCTGAACGACACCAGCTTCCCCCCCCCCATGTGACTCTCAAACCAACAGTCGACGACACTATCGGCTGATGCCAGTATGACTTTCCACTTAAATGAACCTACAATTACGTTGCGTCAATATCTGGCATTTCAACCTTAGTTCTAATTGTCCTGCAGATGCAATCAAAGCAGATAGTTTGAGACTACGTAGTGAAATTCTTGGGTGAACTCAGACAGATATTTTATAAACCATTTCATGAAGTTCTACAGTTAGAAATGGAAGTCCGTTCTAAGTTGTAATATTCGGCTACACACACCCAATAACCTAAACGGAAAGCTGTTGAGACTAACAATAAAGGCGAAAACTACTGCAACCTTCATAGCTCTGTTTGATTTGATACATACGCAGACAAGCTAGGGTAGACAGGAAAGATAGAAATTTCGGGACTCATAATGACGATTGCCTGTTGTATATTGTGCCTTGAAAACCTATTATTTATTGTGACAATCGAATGCGAAAGAAATAATAGACGAATCGGCTACTGAACGTCACTCACCAACCAGTGGCAAATCCGTACAGGTGTTAGTGAGTCACACCTATTGTGTGAGGGTTAGTGAGACTAACTTGCTATCCAAACCTCGGTAGGTGGGGCGGGATTTGAATCGATGGCTAACTAGCTGGAAGTGGAGATCGTAAATCAGTAAGCTACATGCCCTGATAATGAATAACTTATGTGCATCTACCTGCCTTGACAGTGAAGCACCATAGGGAGAGGGTCTAAAATCAACTCCATTTACGACAGACAATTCAAAGTTAATTGGAAAACCAGTCAAACGATTGTACCTAAGGTCAAAAAGAAAATGTGTTATACTCAGCCGCATTCACAAAAACCAAAGTCCCTCAAAAAATACCAACTGACAAAGGGGGAGCCACATACAGATCAAATACTCAGTTACAACAGTAAAAAACCAACAGCGCACAAAAGAAGTTGTATATAGACATTATCCAAAAGAACCAGGATACACTACAGCACTCCTGGCTTTAGGAGAGTAGAGGGGAAATAACTTACAAGCGTCTTCGAAAAAATTGGATAACTCATCTCCGTTTAATTTAAATATGGGAAGCTATGAAGGGTCACGCTTTCGTTTTATGAATTCTCTCTTATAATTTCTGGTCATATTTCCATACAAACCAATCTTATTGACATATGTACTTTCTGCGTTCTAGATGAACCCCATAATTAGTGTTAAAAACTTTTTTAACTTAGTCGATATTCTAGTAAACACACATCTGATCTTGTCTGTCTGACTGACCCCAGTTACTCTGTATACATCTTTCATTCACCAGAATATGGTCCAAACTTTTATGTGAAGGTTTATGATGCCACGCAGTTCTTGAGGCTGAAGTAAATGGAGTGGGATCCCAAAGGAGGATCCATTGGATGATGGCAATGAGTTACATTTTGACAACACATCTCATCCATCAAAAACAAAGCAAAAAAATCTGTTTCAAGATAAGAAATTATCACAATTAGTATTACACTGTTGCTATTATAAAGAGAATTATCCTACCTCTTCAGGTTTAACTGCAACCGCTGACTTAGACTGTATGACTCGACCAATAGTCTTCTCTAATTCACTTCTTAACTCATCTGGTTCATCAATATGACTTACTGCTGACCAATCTTCCTCGTAATCGGCTAAGGATCATGAAAAGATTAGAAGACCGTTGGGAGAAAAAAGCTTTATGATAAAGTTAACACTACAAAAAAACACTTTAAATTAGTGAGCAAAAGACTATGAATGGTGTTCTTATTGACTTAAACATATCCCGTTTTGGTTAAATGATAATATCACAACTGCCAGACGCAAAATGAATTAACCTGTAAGACCCCATTGTAGTAGAGGGTAGTGAGCTTCCTTTAATGTTCCTAGTGGAACATAAAGCTTTAAAGTTTTGGTAGCAGTGGTTTTAGTTTTGCGGGATGAGGTTGCTAGCCTCATGCCCAGCCTTCCTTCTCTACTAAGCTTGCTACCGGTTAAGCGAGGCTTAGAGGAGTAGTGCGTCAGTGGGGGATAGAATCCTGGACCAAGCGCGTGGTTGGCAAGTGTTCTACCGCTGAACCAGCGACGCACAATGAGCTTTTTAGCTTTTATATTTTAAACATTATCTTACTACAACCTTCACAAAGTATTTATTTTCGTGTTTATCATCTTGGTTACATAATCACCGTGGACCTCCTACATAAAACTCAAACAAAGAAAAGCCCTAAAAATGCTGTCTAGAAATTCAATAATGATTACACAAGCATAATAAGAATCGATTTAGTACTATGTATGAGAAAAAGTATCGCGGTTGGAAGGTGTTACCCTTATGTTATGTACACCTACGTAGCTGAGAAGGCCAAGTCTACAGCCTTGATTACCCCTGCATAACACCTGCGTTCTTTTTGATCAAACTTAATTTCAAGACAGATACACCAAAATCCAAGTTCAACACTCAAAAGCTGAAGGACCAGGCTACAAAGGACATCTTCATTGCAAGCATAAAGGACAAAGCTGAGATACAAATCAACACCAGCGAAAAGGTCAGCGTCGAAAAGCACTGGAACAACTTGAAAACGGTGTGGAGTCAAACCTGCATAGAAATTCTAGGCAGAAAAAAGAGACAGGACAAACAGTGGCTCACTACGGACACTTGGAAACTAATAGAAGAGAGAAGGACAGTGAAACATAAGATTATCCAGTGCACTGACGAGCAACAAAAACAGGAGCTGAATGCAAGCTACAATACACTGAACAAAAGAGTGAAGAAGAGTGCCAGGGAAGACAAAAGAAAATATTATGAAACCATGGCAAACAAAGCAGAACAAGCTGCAGGCAAAGGAGACCTCGCCACACTCTACCAAACAACTAGGCACCTTTCGGGCAAAAGTTCGACACAGATTAAGCCAATAAAGGACGACAATGGAAAGTCAATCACCAAAGAGGTGGAACAGAGAAAGCACTGGGCTGAACACTTCAAAAGACTTCTAAATCGTCCGCCACCTACAACGCGCCCAACAATACCAACAACAGAAGCAGAACTACCAGTGAACACTGACCCCCCGACGAAATCAGAAGTCCTGAATGCAATCAAGATGCTTAGAGCTGGGAAAGCACCAGGACCAGATGGAATCCCAGCAGAAGCTTTGAAAATAGACCCAGAGACAACAGCGGACTTGATGACGCCACTGCTGGAGAAGGTGTGGAAAGAGGGCAAAGTACCCAAGGATTGGAAGAACGGATACTTATTCAAACTACCAAAGAAAGGAGACTTAAGTCAATGTCAAAACTGGCGTGGAATTATGCTTCTGTCCATTCCAAGTAAGATACTAAGTCGCATCATCCTGGAGAGAATCAAACAAGCCCTAGATGAAAAACTTCGTCCGGAACAGGCCGGATTCAGGAGAAACAAATCATGTATTGATCAAATCGCCACTCTACGGATCATCATTGAACAAAGCTTGGAATGGCAGTCACCTCTCTATCTCAACTTCATCGACTTTGAAAAGGCCTTCGACAGCGTCGATCGAGAGGTCATTTGGCAACTACTTCGCTACTACGGGGTCCCATCGACAATTATACATCTCATCCAACAGTTATACGACAATGCTGCATGCCAAGTAATCCACAACGGGAAACTTACGGAATCCTTCGAAGTGAGGACGGGAGTGAGGCAAGGCTGTCTTCTATCGCCAATGATTTTTCTGATTCCAGTAGATTGGATAATGCGACAGAAAACGGGCAATGAGGAAACAGGCATAAAATGGACTGACACAAAAGACTTGGAGGATCTGGATTTCGCCGATGATATATGTCTGATTTCCCACAAACTGGAAGATATGCAAGTGAAAAGTAACAAGTTGGCAGAAGAAGCATCAAAGATAGGACTTCAAGTGAACATAGATAAAACAGACGTGATGAAGATTCTTAGCCAACATCAACAGCAACAACAACAACAACAGACAACAATCAGCATAAGTGGGAAGAACCTGAAAGAAACAGCCTCCTTCACCTACCTGGGAAGCATCGTCTCAACTACAGGCGGACGGAACTGACGAGGATATCAAAGCCAGAATCGGAAAAGCAAGACAAGCTTTCATTACTCTCAAATCTGTGTGGAGGTCAACAGCACTCACCATCAAAAATAACATCCGTCCGGATTTTCAACTCCAATGTGAAGTCAGTCAGTGCTACTATACGGATCAGAGACTTGGCGAGTCACAAAGAGCATCTCAAACAAACTTCAGACCTTCATTAACAGCTGTCTCCGCTCAATACTCAAGATCCGATGGCCAGCCAGAAAATATCAGCAACAGGGATCTCTGGGAGCGAACCAATCAGGAACCGATTGTGAAACAAATAGGTAGGAAGAAATGGAGATGGATTGGCCATACGCTGAGGAAACCATCAAGTGACATCACTAGACAAGCCATCGCTCGAGTGGAACCCGAAAGGGAGGCGGCGAGTTGGTCGTCCAAGGGTGACTTGGAGGAGGTCATGCGAGGAGGAGATAAAAGCATGTGGACAGACCTGGAGCGGGGTGAAAAAGTTGTCAGAAAACCGAAGGCAATGGAGGTGCGCAGCTGAAGCCCTATGTTCCTCTAGGAATTAAAGGATACAATAATAATAATAATTTCAAGACAGATCTTTATCATCCACACCTGAGTATCCGAAGTTCTACTTTTATTAGTTCATCAAAAAATGATATTTCATGGTATTGTTACGAATATAAACCCTTTGAAAAATCAAAAGAATAATACCTTTAACGTCGACTAGATTTTCTGTTATTGCTGCTAAATCTTCAGGAGGATGAACAATGTTTGCAGAAGATACATCACGACCATGATCTTCCTTGCGTGCTGAACGACTTCCTAAGTCTGACGATGGTAACTGTTCAGGCAGCCCACTTACAAGTTCATCAGCAGTTAATGTTTGTCGAATTGTCTTAACACGACGTTTACGCTTTTTGAATTTTGTAGCCATCTCCTCAGTAGAATAGTATTCTGAAGCTATACGAAGTTCTGTATCCGGTAAGGATTGCTGAAAATAGAATTAAGAATTTAGTAAGTAAAAGATATGAACCAAAAAAGACTATTTTAATTAGATTGCATATCTGTTTACAAAAGGCTTAGAAATGAAATCAGGCTATGCAGGCTTTAAAAATAAACACTTACTCGGCCTTCCTTCAGTTCAGCTTGCAACTGCTTCAATAATCTTTCACTTTCTGTATTATAAGAACCATTGGAACTAATAACGAACTGATCTTTTTTAACACCATCTATCTCCGAATCATATTTGCTTAGCACAGTTTTAGCGCGTAAACCAAGGAGAACTTCTTCATCCTCTTGGTCTTCGATTCCAGCTAAACCGGCAGTTTTTCGTAAGTTTTCCCTGTTTAATTCCGCTTTTTCATCATCAACCAAGTTTACATTAACCAGAACATCCTCGGAGTCATCCAAAACACCTACGCAAAAAACAAAAGTATTCGCACTTGATTTAATTGAGCACAAAGTAATAGCAAAGTAAATTACCTTACCATCAAGAATAAACAGATTATGAATGATTGAATAATCAAGTAGCTAAAACTTTCAACCCACTGGATAAAACACAAAACCCTACTGAAATTATGATCACAGGTATTCTCGGGATAGTTGAAGCCACATAAAAATGTTCCAGTACCCCTTGAAGTGAACAGTCTATGTCAAGGACATAACAAAAGCAGATAATACACGTGTTTATTCTCAAGAAAATAACACCTTTTTAAAGATTCTATTTCTGGGGAGAGGTCAGAAAGTATGACATAAAAAAGACTGTGGAATTCTGGTTCCAACAGAATTTGAATGACAAACGGAATTACAATAAGACCTCTGGAAAGGGAAAAATACAGTAACGGTGCTGTATGTCGCATGTAAATCCGACTACAGTAAAAAACACCCTTAAAAATGCTTTAGTTATTCGTCATAAAGAAATAACAGGACCAGATACTCTAAATGACTATAGTAAGGTAAGAAAAATTCTATGGTAAAACCCACTGTTTAAATGTAACAAACTAAAACTGAAAACCTGACCGCTCATATACCTATTACGAGGAATTATAATGCCTTAGTAGTGACATGAACAACAGCTTCAAGTGTTCAGATGTTGATTTTAGGAATCATCAAGTGAATCAGTGTTAATCATCTTCAGCAGTGCACTCATTGTCTGAAAAGAGAATATCACGTATTATGAACTGAATGAGACTACGTACACCAAGAAACAAATGTAAAATAAGGACACCAACCCTTTTATTGAAAAAAAATCCTCCTAATGATAGTTTCTATTCAAAGTTGAAGGAGAGTTTTACTTTCCCTGTCCAGGCGACGAGAAGTTATGCTTCAAGGTAGCGTAGTTTGCTGTTCAGTTACAGCTTTAAACACTGCTACTCACACTGATCTACTTTTAATGAGTTTTTTTTTACCAAAATGCTAAGCTAATTGAGTTTATGCTCCACTGGTAGAGTGAAGATGTTATATACTTCAATTGCACCAAAACCTATATCGAAAGTTCGTGTCGGCTATAAACAGATTACAGTTCGTACAATAACCAATATTTCATCTCTGATTCACAAATCTCAACTAGTAATCAAAAATAACCTCAAGTTCAAACGCCTATCATAGGTATTCAAGCAGCATGACATTTATCCAGAATACTTGCTGAAAAATCCACTGAAACGGGTGACAGATTCTGATCTTTGCTTTTTTGAAATGACACGCTAAACTTTAGGCAGCTTTAAAATCTTCTCAAGACTACTGTGGCAGAAATTCGTACTTGTTAGAATTATTTGAAGAGCCTGACAGGTTTTGAAAGGTGTTCATACTATATGCAGCCAAAAAACACACCAGACTCCTTATTAGTTGAACACCAATAATCCATTGCTGCTTACAATTACTTTTGAGATGATAGCTAACTACTTGCAGTTACTTGTAGTCAGGTGAATCAACTATTCACAAGTAAAATGTCAGGAAAGATGGACAGTAGAATCATGTATTAATTCAATTCGAGCACTGTGTATTGGAAATAACAATAAAGCTAATTATTATGGGAATTACTGTAAGCCTAGGGACCAATATTAGATATAAACTAACAGCTGGTAAATAATGTTTACAATAAATGAAAGGCTGATAATTTAATTTTTGAGATAATCCAACTCATTGAATTGAGCTTCTTTACCTTTATTAGTCACCATTCAACGTACTATCTGAAACCACTATTGTCGAACTGTGTTCATCCTAACAGAACACAACCAAGAATATGTTATCAAAATGTTTATGCTGCTGCTCGTATTCTTAGCCAGTTTGATTCAAAAGTTCTCACGACTACAGTCTCACTGAGAACAGGAAACAGTGAGTCACCTGAAGAAATATAACGAATACACGAAACAGATAAAAAGATTGTTTTTTCTTCGACTAATTCAGAAAGTAAGAGAAAGTAAGAATAGCTATGAGTAACAGGAAAGTAGTTTATAACACTTAAGACAAAAACGTTCAGCAGTGTTTAACCGGTATAGTCAAAAGCTTAACTATTGAAACGATGAGTGTATATAAGAAATCATTCCCCGAAATTCGTTAAAAAGTTCTTAAGATCACAAGAAATGGATACGTGATATTGGCTAGAGTGGGAATCAAAACAAAAACCATTTTCATATAGGAAACAGGAGTTGTAAGCACTACATAGAATTCTTGACAAAGCTGAGATTACAACAGCATTTCAACCCAGAAGTTCATTTAAAGATAAACTTCGTCAGCTTATGTGTTCTACTAAGAAAATGAGGTGAAACAAATGACTCAAGAAAATGCTGCACAGTCACGAAGTACGTAAATCAAAGTGACTGGTTTGTAATATACCTAAGCCTAGTGATTCCTTTCGAAGTAATTTTACTTCGGTTAGCAAAGAACATAAGGGTAGATGGTGTGTATAGGTATAACATGTCAAACCTTCCTCAGGTAGTTTAAAACTTCATCGACCAATTTACCTGACTCTATGACAACAACCGTCTTCGCTCTATACTGAGGATCAGATGGCAGGAAAGAATCACCAACAAGAAACTGTGGGAAGAAACAACACAAGAGCCAATCGCCCAACAAATATGCAAGAGAAAGTGGAGGTGGATTGGACACTCGCTGAGGAGGCCGCTGGGTGACATCGCGCGTCAGGCCATCACTCGAGTGGAACCCGAAAGGCAATCGGCGAGTAGGACGTCAGTACAAGAGTGACATGGATGAGATCGTGTGAAGAGATGAAACAGTATGGACTAGCATGGGTGCAGGTGAACAATAATAGCAATGACAAGTTTCCAGAACGTGCCAGTTTTTCTAAGCACAAATGATTCAACTCCCCAAACAATTGGAATGCCCAACGCATTCAACTGTTCCACTTTCTATCCTCAAAACGGTACCTCAGTCATTCTTGGTAATAAATTGTAACTCCGGGCAACTGCAAAGTAGGTATTGGCCAATTTGGCGTGCGATAACTGATTGTAGACTTTAATGTGGTGATAGATATTCGGATATATCCTCTAGGAAGGAAGAATACTGAAATCTATACCATGTGTTTGAGGATTGTTTAACTCCTTTTGCTCAGGCAGAAGTATGGGGAGGTGGACGCGAACCTGGGACACCAGACACAACTGTGAAAACTCTCCTTGAATTACCTTACTGCTTACTACTCACCACCAATAAATTATATTACTGATTAGAGGGAAATTTTAGATACCGCACATCTGAGTACATGAAAAACAGTTATTTTCAAGTGAAATACTCTTCGGCTAAGCGTTACTCTTGAACTTCTGCCCACACAGTTATTTCTCAGATCCCATCGGGTGACATCTGCAAAATTGCCGACCTTATTATTAATATTATTGTTGCTCCCTTGGGCTTCGAGTGTAGTATAACGCGCCAACAACACATCTTTACCTTGTTTTATTTGCTGCTCTCGTCTTCAGTTGGACCCACGATTGTCCATAATTTCTTCTTCGCACGATCTCCATGTCACCCTCGCAGCGACGACCCACTCGTCTCTTCCCATCTGGTCTTAGACAACCATTACTAACCAACTAACTCTCTACTAGCATGCTACTAGCAAACAATACATGATTAGACCGTTTTCACCACATTATCATACTTTTTCTTAATTTTACGTATATTCTTAGTATCATAATATAAGATGAACAAGTTTACAGTTTCAGTTGTGAAGAATTTAGAGTGTCAATAAATTACGAGTTCAAAAAGTTGGTGAGTATTACATTGTCAATAATCATGTTCACGGTTAGGACTCTCGCCGACCATGCACATGGTCCGAGGTTCGATCCCCTGTCGACGCACACCTGATATCTATGGTCGGCCTGCAAAATTTGGGCTACCGATATCCATGCTGAAAATTCCATACTTGTACCAAAAATACAGTGTGGAATCAAGCTGTAAATCAAAAACAAATAAATATATAAAAATGAATATACAGATATTTTACCTGTACGAATACACGCCAACATTAACTTCAAGATATTCATAAAAGCTATGGTTTTAGTGTGACTTGCAAAGCACTAAATTTGAAACCAAGTAATTCGTATCAAGAAGAAAAGGAAATACAGCCAAAGGGCAAAAAAATGAGACAAAAGTGAAAACACGCAAAACTACTTCCAATCATTACAGAATTTAACCCAAATATGAAAAAGGTTCAAAACAAACCTGAGTCTTTGATCGTTAAGATAATTGACTGACCATCAACAAAACGATCAGCACTGTGTTCAACTCGCAGGCCAGCAAGATCTCCTGGCTTATAATTCTTATCTTTAGTGGCTAACTTTGACTCAACGAACTCAGAAACACCTAGTTGGTCATCGATTTCACTCAGGATTTTCGCCTGCAAAAGATTGTGGTTAGACATTAATTGAACGTACTGCTTACTCTTTCCGAGGCTTGTTTTTGAATTCGTTCTTTCTCTCGCATCTTTTCTACCCATGTCTGAACATTTGATTCTTTTTCAGTTGGGACAGAAAGCTTTTCCTGACCAAGTTTATCATAAAGAGCTCTCCTTTCCTTTAGAACATTCAGCTTTTCTTTAAGTGCATCTGACTCTTTCAGCTTTCTAAGATCTTTTGCCGGGGCATGAACATAATTATCCGCCTGATTATCAGTGGTTCGCTCTGATTTGGGTGTGTCCTCAGTTTCAAGAGGGGCCAGACCTAACTTTGCTCTCAGAGCACTGAAAAGGTATATACTTATGTGCTCTACTTACTTTGTTTCAGAAACTGAAAGAGAGATATCAACCCCAGTACGTCCAGCTAAAATAAGTTGAAATGCGTTATTTGATTTTACTTACCATCATCAGGAGACCGGTCATCTACCCTACCAAATGTTCGATCAGAACCGTGATCTAGGGGTGAACGAGACCTATCACGGTTCCTATGATGCCGGTGTTTCTTGTGTGACCTTTGAGGTGATCCTCTTGTCATCGTGTCGCAGTTATCCTAACGAAGCCGCTTCAGCTCTGAAGGTCAGTTTCAATTTCTCAATACTAGAAAGTAGTTACTCAATAATAATGAACAGTGGGTTGTTGCAATTTGGGCTTCTTATTTTCGTAAGAGTTTCTTTTTAAGTGTGTTCACAAGTGAAGCCCCAACCAAACTGTGTAATAAAGAGTTTGATACGGAAAACAATGGCTGCCACTAAGTGACCTTGACAAGTTTTAGCCCTTACTTGCCCACTTTCAAAACCTGAGGGTTAGGGTTGATGATCAGATTAGGTTTAGGAGCGTATATTCAAGAATAATGGTTTGGCACACTTCTTGTTGGATGAAAGACACACTGTGCAAATCTTTTTTTGACTAACATTTTTGTTTTAATTTAATTTTTTTCTTGGTATCTATAATGCACACATCTTTCTTAGCACTTCGTCTCCTCGTGATCCACAACTGGCTACATGCCATACTAAGTCCCCGGTTTCATGCTCTGAGACTTAGAAGAATCCCTCATCATCATCCAAAGAGTATTCGACAACCCTATGACCACATCCACAGTGCAGAAAACGCATTCAATGCTCCCCTCGTGAAATGTACTTTTGGATCATGTTGTTAGATTTGTAGAATCGGAATTGATCCCAACTGCAAGTAACTGTATTCTTTTACAATACACCTACCTCAATAAATGTAATGCACTACTTAAATGTCTTCACTGACTTGGATTTTGTATTCTAATCCAATATCCAATATCGTTTTTACACGCTAGTATAAACCAATTTGATTTCTTTGTGCTCGCTTCTTGATTGTGAGGTATAGGTTCTTGATCTTCGGTAAACTTCTGCGTAGCTTGTCCCGCCACTCGACTGTCGTAGCTTTGGTTGACTCCAAAGGGAGTAGTGCTGGGATTAATTATATGTGGTTTGTAGTATGAGGTATGTTAAGACTGTTACTACTGTGATTGGAGTTGATCCTTTCGCCAGTTAGTCCTTCGGTATTGTCGACAAGAGAAAAGAGATAGTAATAATAATAGTAATAATAGATATAATTAGTGAAGCTATTCAGACTAAGAGACAGAAACGAAAATAGGAAACGTAACAACAGTCAGCTCATTAAGTTTGAAGAATAATATATATATATATATATATATATATAAATAATAGTAATAATAATAATAGTAATTATAATATTAATAAGTTGTCAGGAGAGTAAGACGGGAGAGAATGTAAAGAAGTAAAATGACGAGTTTAATTATCTACCCTGATTGGTAAATGCGATTTTAAGGAGATAGGCCATTTGGATGCAGTCCTTGTATCGCTGCATGGTTGTCCAGCCTTCGCTTAAAGGCGTCCAAAGACGGTGCCATAGCTACATCTGCCGGTAAGGAATTCCAGGGACGACAAACCCGCAGTGAAAAGAAGTGGGAGCGCACCCGGGTCCTTGCCCTCTGGTGAGCTATCCTTCTGGGATTTCCACGTGGAAGCCTATACCTACTCAATGGCAGAACACCTTTGTTTGGGTGATTCTGGTCATTTGTTATTTTGTAGGCAGTAATCAAATCCCCCCTAAGCCGACGGTAACTAAGTGTGAACAGGCCTAATTTCTTCAGCCTTTCATCATATGGTTTGTTTCGGAGACCAACCACTCCTTTTGTTGCCCGTCGTTGGACTCTTTCCAAGAGGTTGGCATCTCTTCTCAGCATTGGGGGTGCAATAATATTATGCACCTCAAGGTGTGGCCTGACGTATGTTTTGTACAACATTAGAAAGAGCTCAGGAGTGAGTGCACCTAACTGTCTATGCGTAAAGTGTATGACCGCATATGCCCTCGCTACATCCCCTGTGTAATTTACGCTTGTGTCCATTTTTTCCGTTAGAACTAGACCTAAGTCGCGTTCCGACGTTGTGCAGGACAAGCTTTCATTGCACAGGGTGTAACTTGCATTCTGCAGTCTACAGGTGCGCAACTTCACTACTTTGCACTTTTTCAAGTTGAAAGTCATGCCACTGGCCACCGCCCAGTCTTCCAGAAGGTTTAGGTCTTCCTGTAGCCTATCTGAGTCCTCCGGACACTTTATCGCCCTCCATATTTTTACGTCGTCAGCGTACAGGAGAGTCGGGCAGCTCAGACGGCGTGGTAGATCATTGATGAAAATCAAAAACATCAGTGGTCCTAGGATAGAACCCTGCGACACTCCTGATGACGATCTGTGCCAAGATGATCGGACTCGGTTAACCTTAGTGCAAAATTGCCTGTCGGCTAGGTAGTCCTTCAACCATGACAGAAGTGGCTCACCTATGCCTGCCTGGCTTATTTTATGTAGGAGAAGGTCATGGTGAACAGTGTCAAATGCCTTCTCAAAGTCTAGGAAGACCACATGGACTGGTACGTTCAAGTCCCAGCATGATGTCCAGTCGTCCCAAGCTGACAGTAGGTTAGTGACGCAGGATCTGCCTTTTCTGAAACCATGTTGGGCTTCATGCAGTATATTAGTCCTATCGAAATATTCCCTGATGTGGTCGTCAATAATACTTTCCAGTACTTTTGATACCACTGGGAGTAGAGCTACTGGTCTATAGCTAGCAGCGTTTTGCCTGTCCCCACCCTTGAAGATTGGAGAAAGGATGGCTCTTTTCCACTCCCTTGGCAGGGTCCCCGAATCCATTGAGTGTTGGAACAAGTCGCACAGGGGTCTACAGAGAGCCTCGGCGCACTGTTTCAGAACAGATGGCCTGATGTCATCACAACCTGGGGACTTCCCAGGTATGAGTCGCTGTAGCTTCCTTAGTACTATTGCGGGGTTTATTTGGGGAGTAGTCGCTAGGTCTTCCTCCTCTGAAATAGTGGTGCCACCATTTTGGTCCGTAACTGTAATATCCACATTGCTGTTTAGCTGTTTAGCGAAGGCTGAACTGAATGTTTCAGCCATCTCCAGACTAGTGAGATATTGACCGTTTGGGCCTACTAAGGCGCATGCCCCTTGGTTTGTCGGTTTTCTTTCCGACATGAATCGGTACAAGTTTTTAGGGTTTGATAGGAGTTTTTTAGCAAGGTTAGCCTGGAATGACCTTCTGTCCCTCCTAACTCTTGCATTACACCGGTTCCTGAGTTCGAGGTATGCATCATGGTCGGTCTGACTCTTAGATACACGCCACGTAAACCAAGCCTTCCGCTTTGCTTGCAGAATACGTTGCGTGCCTCTCTTCAACCATGACGTCTTTCTCTTAGGCTGTGTTGTGACTAAAGGGACGGTATCCGAGATTGCTTATGGATAATCTTTTTTACCACTTCCCAGTGTTCATCCACAGATAGGTCGTCCCATGCTAAGGGCCAGTCTGCGTCGGACAAGAGCCTCCGCATTTCAGCATAGTCAGCCTTGCTGTAGCACAGACATGGTCGCGTAACATCCCATTGCAAACGCTCACGGAGGACAAGATCGAAACCTATGACTGCATGGTCACTGCTTCCCAGAGGAGTCATGATCTGGACCTTTTCGACGAGTAGCTGGTCACTAGTTAGAATATAATCTAGTTTTGATGACTTTCCACTAGGGCCCCACCTAGTGTCGTCTCCAACATTCTCAGTCAGTCCCGTGTTTCGAATAGTTTGCAGTAGGTTTCGGCCAAATTTTCCCTTAGCACACCCGGAGCCGAGGTTCAGTGATGGAGCATTGAAATCTCCAGCTATGGTGATTTGGTCGTAGCCCAAATCTCGTATTCCTGTGATAGTGCTGAGCAGTAGCTGATTGTGCTCTGCCCCACAGGTGGGAGATCGGTAGATGCCACCCAGTAAGTGCTTGGTGTGGCCTACGGTGAAATGACACCATATGGAGTCTGGGAGTTCGATAAGTGGTGGGTCCGTTGCGCGCACACATTTAAGTTGCCTATCAAAGTATATAGCAACTCCCCTCCTTCCTTATTATCCCTGTCTCTCTGACCAGTACCATATCACCTATACTGATTTCATTGTCGGCGATAGTGGGGTTTAGCCACGTTTCAGTAAGAATGATTATTTTCAGTTGAAGGTGTGCTTGGAGATTTCGAGTTCACCTACTTTCCCTCTCAGCCCCCTCACATTGCTATATAGGCAACTGACAGTGAGTCTAACAACCTCAGAGTGTTGTGGGGTAGTTGACGTGAAACCGTCTGCTGGTGGGGGACTTGATGTTGGAACTAGTTGGCCGATTCCGATAGAACCGGCCCGTTGTAGTTTTTTTCAATGGATTTAGGCAGGACACTTGGGAGACACAGACTATTATTCTCAGAGCTGCATCGCTCTAGTGTCACCGAAGCTTGGGGTCGTATTAAAGCCTCAGTTTGCTGCCTCCTTATATTTCTGGGTCTGCTTTCACAGCATCGGATGTGTCCTCCAATTTTTCCCTTGGTCTCATACCACCGTTGAAGTGATATGGACAACTGCTCCGGGGAGTTGAATGTGACACACAGCAGCTTTGGAGAGTTAATCAATGTTAGATGAGCGGGACGAGGTAGTCGGAAAATGGAGATGGCTCCAGAAGCGCCAGGGGCCATCTGAGATGACAGCCATCTCCATTGTTGTACGTCGTGCATGTGTTTTTCACAAGCAGTGCCGGTTTCCAGCTCCGGAACACCGTGTACCACCATAGAGGTGGAAGGCATCAGTTCCGGTGACTCCCTCGCCATATTTCTGAAGCCCATGGTCTATCTTGCCGCGCCCTTATGTTAGAACTTCTGTCCAGGGCTAGTACCTGAGCCATTAACAGTACTTTTTCGGCCTCTTCGGCAGAGTCCAGTGTAACCCGTAATGGGGGTGGCTTACCCTGAGGCGTGTGGACACCCCTGTACAGTCTGCACAGTTTTGCTGAACTAATGTTCAGACCTAGTTTGTTGCACAGGTTGGACCACTGTTCCTGATCAAACAGGGCCCGTTGTTCGAGCAAGCTATCCGTGCTCACAGGTACGTTAAAGAGGATGAGAGAGTTAGACCGACTACCCTCAGACTTAGGTTTTGCCTTCGGCTTCTTGCAGTCCTTTGCATCATTAGCAACATTAGGCTTCATCGGTACCTGGACAGCCTTTTTTGTGTTGCCAGGCTTGCTAGTGGATGCAAGTGGTGCCTTTGTAATTTTGCCTTCCCCTGATGTGGATGGAACCTTGCTAATCTTCACCTTGTGAGAATTGGCATTTCCAGTCAGTAG